GAGGAGTAGGATATCCCTACCTTAAGTCCGGAGCCCCAAAGGAGAAGATGACAAAATCCAACGTGCTCCAAATCCCAAAATTTTCAGATCAAAACGACGCCCTTGACGATCAATACAACTTTTACAAAGACTGAAGGTGTGGAACTCACCCTAGCTAGATCAAAATCTAGAGAGAAGGCAAGATTTTAGAGAGAGGAGCTCTCAAAATGGCTTTTAGAAAAAGTAGGAGAGAGAAAGAAAAGCAAAAAGTGATTTGAAATCACCCAGCGGATAAGTCATATACGTATGACCCGCTCGAGCGGAGAACACAACGCTTGAGCGCCAAGAACAAAAATCTGGACACGCTCGAGCGCAATAATGCCCGCTCGAGCGCCAAGACACAAAAAAAAGCAATTCTGCTCGAGCGCGAATACCAGTCCGCTCGAGCGCAGATTTCCACCTCCCAGAACTTACATCCAGAAAGCACTACCCGCTCGAGCGCCAACAAACCCGCTCGAGCGCCACCGCTCGAGCGTAAACAAACCCGCTCGAGCGCTAAAGTCACATCTGTAGAAGTTTTGCAGGAGCCCGAAATACTGGAGGTGTGTAATCCCTGCTCAAGCGCAAGAAGACCCGCTCGAGCGGAACGCCTAAAAACTGGGCAACAAGGAATTGAAACCAAGGCCTAACCAACCTGTAACAAACCTGCCCAACACATCTTATAACTCAAATACAAATTAAAAAGGATGTAAACAAGATAAAAATCAACTACCAACATCCACGGACACATGTCCGGATCACTGTACAACAAGGGTAAATCCGGGATTGCTATAGCAGCGGAAATTGCGTGGCACATTTATTGCAGCATTATTGAGCCACCTGCACAAGTGTAAAAGATGTTAAAAACTACACAAATTTTACACCAATACCATTTCCAACTCTATTTCAAATACAATGCTATCATAATTTAGTACATCTTGTAAAATGTTTCAGTATTTTTTGAAACAAAAACAGATGCCCACCAAGTTTTGGTTTATAGTTTTTAAATTTTCTATAAAGGTAACATAAAAATGTATACATAAACTTTGTGATCATTGTGTACTCACCGTCAGTGATCATTGAGTGTCATCCTTTTCTTGAGACCTTGAGGTGTCTTCTGGTTGTGACCTTGACCTTGAGGTGTCTGATCTTCATCCCCATACTTACATTCTGTACCCTGTTTAGTAGAGTCAAGATGCTTCTTTAAGAATGCAGCCAGAAGGTCCCGCAACATGTTTGTGAGGGGACTTGCTCGCAGTTGAGGAGGGGAAAGGAATGTGTATCCACTAAAAAATATAGCGATCCCAATTGCCATTACATATGCATATATCAAATACTGGTGAGACCAATCAAGAGCAAAAATTAATGATACAAAAGCCCATGTGATGCCACCTGCAATTCCAACTATGTTGCAGGTAATTGCAATAATATTCTTCTGACGTTTCCTTTCGTCTCGGATCTTTCTTTGGCAAACTTCAAACTTCAAGTAACCAAATTTGATTACCTTCATTTCAGGTGGATCTCTTTTGAATTTTATTTTACCAAAGGTGAGGGTATTCAAACATATTCCCTGACCAGCCTTGGCAAGAACAATCAAAGCTAATCCCCAATAGAATGGTGAAGCAGTTAGCTTTGAAGAGCATAATTTCTCCCCTGTCGGACATGACTTTACACCCTTGGAAAAGAACCGATTAGGAACTGACATTACTAACAACCCCAATCCCTGCATCATCAAATCATCTCCTATTCATTAGTGAGAGACAAATTTGATAAACATTTTAAATTAATTTGGACTAGCTTTGATGTAAGATAAGGGTGTATACATCTTGACTCTAATTTTGATGCTAGATTTGAGTGGTTTCGAACTAAAGAATCACTGTGGGTGGTTTGGCCACCCTAGGTTAGTGGTAAACATAGTCTGAAGAAATGGTCAAGGTGTTTGATCAAAGATTTAAATGCATTGTGGATAAAAAATTTAAGAAAGTTAGGGTTTACATTGTGGGTATTTGGGAAGTTGCTATTTTAGTAGGCTATTTTAGTAGGTTAAAAATTTTATATTTGGGAAGATGATTGGATTTTTTTTTAATTGGATATGATGTTTATTTTGTCTTTTTGTGAATTTTAGTCTAAACTAAGCTTCTTTTTTTTCTTGCCAAACACCCCCATTGTATTGTTCCAAGATTTGAGTTCAAGTTAAATTTGATTCATTGGCATATTCAAAGTATTTAAGTAAGAAAGGGTTATTGTTTACATGCATCATTTATATAAATACACCAATTGAAAAGCCATGAAATATTAAATTTCATTCATTAATGCTCCAATTTTTATTTTTTTTCTGGCCTGATGTAAGAGCTTTGGCTTCGCACTTAGATGTACACCAAAGACCATGACTAAATCTGTCTGAGAAAGCAAGTGAAAATGTACAAAGGGCTTCTAGAAAGGCTAAATTATGAGCTGTTTTATTCTATCGGTGCGAATCAATTAAGAAGTATAATTCCCTATGAAAAATGCAAGGAAAGACCCAATTCCTGCCTATCAACCTCAGCAAATGCACGAGTAGCCTAGTTTAGTTTTGGTTGTCGATTCCCAGTCAGAACAGAGTAGTTTATCTATATTTTCACTACTACTACTACTACTAGCAAATTATCAATGCTATGCCACAAATGAAAGGGGTGTGTAGAATTCCGGTGACTTACAATGCTATAAAGAACACTTGTGATGAGCAACATCCCAGCGTGGCCAAGATAAGCATCTATGAGAGCGGCCTCCACTAATCCCATGATACCTGCCACTCCACCTTTAATGTTCATGATTGCAACAGCATGCTTGAGCTTTAACTTCCAAATGTGAGTCAAGAAGGTCACCAAGTTAGTCAAGACAAACACGGACATACTGTTGCTGTAAATCAGACCTGCAATATAGACATTCTGGTTTTTAGCACAAAGATTCAGATCTTATTTTATAATAACATGAAGTGTTATATATTCAATTCAATGTGATTACATTGACAAAGTAGGGAAACGGCATAATTTCCCTTTTCTAGGTTAAAACCAACATAGAAAAATCTAGGGAAGTTATTATCAAATGTACTTTTACAGCATAATTTGAGAAACATATAACAGGTAGGCAACCAACCTTGTATGTTGAAATAAAATAGTTTTGGATAAATTAAACAGACCTTCCTTGATAATTGGCAAAACTACATTTGAATAATTTGACATACACCACCACCATCAACCAATTTTCCCCCCATCCCTCCACACCCCATCACATCTCCACTAGCCTCACCCGCATCACCTGCCTTCCCACCACGATTACACCGCCCGCCAAACCACAGCACCGCCACCACAACAATTATCATCTCCCTTCACTCTGTCAATCCACTTCCGCCACCGCCACCACCACCAAAATTCCCAACCACCACCATCATCCAAATCCAACAACAAATCACTACCAAAATTGACCCACCCATCACCTCTAAAATCAACCCCTTGGATCGTCACCTGAAGCCCCACCTCCTCTGCCCATCGTTGTCTGAAACCCACCATATCCCAACGGTTGAGTTCACGGACCTGCAGGGGTGGCGACGAGGTAGAGAGGGGCTATGGCGGCCGAAGAAAGGATGAGGGGACTGCGTGTTACGGGTCGGGTCGGGGCTTCGATTGGTTCAGTATGGATGGGTTTGTCGAGGATAAGAATAATAAGATGGGAATTTCAAATTTGGTGGCTTGCTTGATTTTGTAATTGTGTTGAGGAATAGGAATAGCTAGTTCACAATAAATAAATAAATAAATAAATAAAGTTAGGAATAGGAATAAGGTGTTCCAACAAAGAATAAGAAGGGTAATTTTGAAATTCAGGAAAAAAATAGATGACCCTCTCTAGAATTATTTATCACAAGTGATATATGATAAAATTTAAAGAGTGATTGTACAATTTGATTTTTTTTTTTTTTTTAACAGCACAGTAGATTAGTAGCAACTTGAATCAAATATGAAATAAAATTTTAATATTACTGATGTCTTTTTATATTCACTTGAATTACATGTTTTGATTGATTGCTTTTTCAATTGAAAATATGAATTGAATAAATTTTTTATATAAAGACAGTCTTAAATATAATATTGAAATAGATAATGACGGATTTAAAACAATTCATATTACCATGAGTGTTGAATGGATTAGGAAAAATAAAATAAAATTATTGGCTGATGTAAATGGTTTTTTTCCAAGAAGATATAAGAAACAACTTGATGCCTTAAAAAAATAACAAAAATGTTCCGGACCCCTCCAAATAGTGACCCCCACGACTCCCTTGGCCTGTGATTGGCCAGATTTATTTATTTATTTATTTTTTCTCTTCCTCCGATCACTAATCCCTACGTGTGTGTAGGGGTAGTGGAGGTTGGTGATTGAGGGGGTCTCTATCAAAGTTAAAAAAATAATAATAACAATGATTCATACTAGAGGAAAAAGTGTCCATGCTTGAGATGTGTAGAAGTAAAAATATTACGGTTTCTCCACTCTTGGGCCTAGTCTCCAATTGCTTGAATCAATGACATGTTAGTGGTGGATGAAATTGAATTCTCTTAATGCCTCTTAATAATCGGTGGTACTACATGTACTAATTAGTATATTAACTAATATATTAACACTAATTATGATATTATTATTGACCCCACTCATTAATCACATCACAAATTTTAAAAACCTCTTAAATTATGTCACATCATCAATTGGTGTACTAGTTAGTACACTAATTGGTACATATATCATTATTCCTAAATAATAAGGTAAATTATAAATACATTATTTAAAATTTACTTAAAATATAAATTGCTTTATCTAGTTTTAGAAATTAAATTTCACTTATTAAAATTTTTAATTTCATAATAAATGGCTCTCTTTATTAATAAATTATCAATTCAATTAATAGTTTTTAATGATGACAAAAATTTATTTCAATTATACTGTTCTTGCCTCTAACCCAAATTATTACCATCAAGGGAGACTAAGCTCTCAACATAGGTATCCACTGGAAGACAGTTGCACATGTTAGGTATTCCAGGATTCCTAAATTTACCATCTTTCAAATTGTAAAGAACTAACCGATTCTCAAATTTCAATAAAATTTCACCATTCTTTGAAATGCACAATGGTGTGTAGTGGCAAATTCTTGACACTACAGAATATGGTATTGTGAACGACTTAGTCCAAGGTTCTCTCTTGCCATTCTCGTTCATTACCCATACATCAACACAAGTCGAGAAGTTGCAGAGCACATGAAGGCATCCTTTTAAAACACGCAATGTCAAATCAATAACATAAACCCCATAATCAGGTGGCACAATTGCTCCATACGTTTCCTTCTCCAAATCAAGAGAAGCAATCACCCAAGAAGAGTAACTCGATTCCGTATCAACATGGGTGACCCAATGGAGAGCCTGATTTGCAAATTATCCTGAAATAAATGGATGTGGAGGAATACCATCAGGAAAGTTTCCGATCCTCCTCTACAAATTCCTCCTCAAAGAATAAACCACCAACCCCATCCCCACCCCACTCTGGTTCTGACCCTCACTAAAGATCCTAACCGCCTTGTAGTCATCGGTAGACTTATCATAACCAAACCCACATGCTCTTGTAAACGCATTTTTAGCATCCAAATTTGGCAATATTTTGTGTTTCCTAGTAGATGGGTTCCATCATGATTATAGCATGTCGACTGTAACCAGCCCACACCAACCCATTACATGAACCTACAACCCATTACATGAACCTAAAATAAAAACTGCATTACCATCTACTTGAAATGGACAATCAAGCTCAACAGCGATTTCTTCATCATTTATCAGATTCAGGTTGTTTATTATTGAATACAGAGTAAAGAGAACACGACTTCAAATCAAATTCTGAAATATATCTCGGTATTAGTCTCTGCTGTATATAATCATCATCGTTGGTCCTAGATGACATACCAAGGTGGGTTTTCACGAATTGGGAACTTGAAATCGAAGAACTTCATGATTTGGAAACGCACCTGAATTGCAGGAGAGACTGAACGGGCAGTCTCAAAAGTATCTCGTCTTCCGGCTGGCACTGCGCTTTTCTGGGTCTTCTCGATCCTCTCCTCGAGTTCTCCATGATTCGAAACGCTTTCGACCGCCATGGATATTGGTGTTGTGCTTGACAGGGCGTGTGTACTAGGGTTTTGAGATTCCTCTTAAAACTTCACAAAACAATTTTGAATATGAAAAATTAATTTTAAACTGCTTTAAGCTTTTCAAAATACGAATTAAAATTGTATAGGCTTTGAAAATACTCCCAAGTTTTGTTTTATCAACTTATATCTTGAATAATTTGAGTCAAGAACATGAATACCTGAAATTTATAATTTCAATTCTCAAATGACATGATAAATATTAAACTTTACATGATTAAATTTGTAATTAAAAAAAAATTAACACGTAATTTATTCAGAAAGATTTTGAAGACTTGAAATAAATAAAGGAATACCACATCTATACACAATTAATCAAACATCATATTCATCAACATAGTAATAATGATAATAATACAAGAATAAATTTCAAGTCTTTACATGAAATCTTATATAAAGTGCTCACAAATTTGTATAATATAATCGTACAATTAATTAGCCAAAAGAATCAATAACCTAAACAACTCAAAAGAACATTCACAAGAAATCAAATTGCTGTTTAGACCAGCTCTACCACTACTGTTCTCTTCAAGTTCTCTTCATCATCAGGTGGTTCTTATTGTTCTTTCAGTTTCTTCATCAGGTGTTGGTTCAATTTCTTCATCAGGTGTTGGTTCAATTTCTTCATCAGGTGTTGGTTCCATCTTGTCTTGCTTCTTTCCAGTTTTAATTTCTTCATGTGGATCTTCTTCTTCGTCGTTGTCTTCCTCTTCTGGAAAATCACTGTAAGTGTAAAAACTTGCAACATAGGCAAAGATAAACAGATTGGCCATGCTCACCACCACTAATGCAGCGTAAAAAAGATCCAAACGGCTCTGATTCACAGTGTCTGCAATCCAACTTCCATCTTCAACTCTCAACTTCTTGACCACCACGTCTAATATCATAATAAACCCTATGTTCAGTATTTTTCCCTATCCGATCACAGCTTCAGTGAGTACGATGCATATCTCTTCCTCATTGACTCTGGAACCTGATACTTAAAGAAATCCACAATACCATCATGAGCTAATCCATCCATGATTCCCATCAGTACAAACTGTGGAGAGAGCCAAAATACAGATATTGGTGCAATGGCATCGGGATTACCTAACAAGCTGTGTTCTTTCAAAGCTTTTAGCCATTTATACTCCACCCACCAAGCAACTTTACAACAAGCCAAAGCCGCAAGCATTCCTAAACCAACCTTCATTCCAGCTGAGTAACTTCGCTCTATTTGTCATTCAAATACTATTCTATACAGAGGTTTCACTGCATATCTCGCAAATAATGCTATAAGAAGGAAGATTTGAATAGGGAGTTGAATTTGATGCTACTTTTTTAAACAAAATGACATGTTCATTGCATATCCTTGCGCAATGAAAAAGGTATTACTGTTGGATTTGATCACCCCATAGAAAAGAAAGGTAGCCGAGATTGGAACCATTCTTAACAGAAGCTTTGTCTCCTCAACCTCATCTACTGTGCAATTAATCCATCCAATAGGAGAGCAGTGGAAATTGCGTGGCACATTTATTGCAGCATTATTGAGCCACCTGCACAAATGTAAAAGATGTTAAAAACTACACAAATTTTACACCAATACCATTTCCAACTCTATTTCAAATACAATGCTATCATAATTTAGTACATCTTGTAAAATGTTTCAGTATTTTTTGAAACAAAAACAGATGCCCACCAAGTTTTGGTTTATAGTTTTTAAATTTTCTATAAAGGTAACATAAAAATGTATACATAAACTTTGTGATCATTGTGTACTCACCGCCAGTGATCAGTGGGTGTCGTCCTTTTCTTGGGACCTTGAGGTGTCTTCTGGTTGTGACCTTGACCTTGAGGTGTCTGATCTTCATCCCCATACTTACATTCTGTACCCTGTTTAGTAGAGTCAAGATTCCTCTTTAAGAATGCAGCCAGAAGGTCCCGCAACATGTTTGTGAGGGGACTTGCTCGCAGTTGAGGAGGGGAAAGGAATGTGTATCCACTAAAAAATATAGCGATCCCAATTGCCATTACATATGCAGATATCAAATACTGGTGAGACCAATCAGGAGCAAAAATTAATGATACAAAAGCCCATGTGATGCCACCTGCTATTCCAACTATGTTGCAGGTAATTGCAATAATATTCTTTTGACGTTTCCTTTCGTCTCGGATCTTTCTTCGGCAAACTTCAAACTTCAAGAAACCAAATTTGATTACCTTCATTTCAGGTGGATCTCTTTTGAATTTTATTTTACCAAAGGTGAGGGCATTCAAACATATTCCCTAACCAGCCTTGGCAAGAACAATCAAAGCTAATCCCCAATAGAATGGTGAAGCAGTTAGCTTTGAAGAGCATAATTTCTCCCCTGCCGGACATGACTTTACACCCTTGGAAAAGAACCGATTAGGAACTGACATTACTAACAACCCCAATCCCTGGTATTGTTAAGCTGAACCAAACACATCAAAATAGCTTAAATTAAGCTAAAAGTTGAAATAAGCTGGAAATAAGCCCTACCAAACAGGGCTTAAGATGAGGTAAGATGATTCAGATGTGTTAGGGCTTTATGGATGTGGTATATTTGGTTGACTCGGAAAGGAAACAAATAATTGGATTTAAATTATAACTCTTTAGAAAGTATGATGGAGTTTTTTTTTTTTTATGAATTTATGGAGCAGACGCTCTTATAAATTATAATATGCTAGTAGTTGCAGTTGCCGATGATATTTATATCAGAACCTTGAAATGAAATGCAAATTTAAAAATAAAAAAAAGTATATGATGAAACTAGTTGCTATATTGAAGTATACTATAAGCTCCACAAGAAAGGTACAATTAATATATGAAAATTGTTTAAGGGCCCGAAATCAATGGCTCGAAACCCAAAACGACGTCGCTTTTGGTTTCATTTTTTTTTTCTTTTTCTTCATTTTCCTGTTTTTGAATAGAGACATAGAAGCGAGAGAGAGAAAGGAAAGGAGAGAATAGAAAAGGGAGCATAGAACACAAAGAGAGAGAGAGGGGCTCGGTCGTCGATTGACGCCGCCATCGTCGCTGCCTCCTCCGATCTCCCCACAACTAATCCGGTCGAACCGTCCCCTCTCTTTCTTCTCTCCCTTCTCTGTTGGTGATGATGAACACAAAAAGAGAGTGGGGCTCGGCCGTCGATCACCGCCGCCATCGTCCTCGTCGATCGACGCCACCATCGTCGCTGCCGCCTCCGATCTCCCCACAACCAGTCCGGTCGAACCACCCCCTCTCTTTCTTCTCTCCCTTCTCTGTTGGTGATGATGAACACAAAAAGAGAGTGGGGCTCGGCCGTCGATCACCGCCGCCATCGTCCTCGTCGATCGACGCCACCATCGTCGCTGCCGCCTCCGATCTCCCCACAACCAGTCCGGTCGAACCACCCCCTCTCTTTCTTCTCTCCCTTCTCTGTTGGTGATGATGAACACAAAAAGAGAGTGGGGCTCGGCCGTCGATCACCGCCGCCATCGTCCTCGTCGATCGACGCCACCATCGTCGCTGCCGCCTCCGATCTCCCCACAACCAGTCCGGTCGAACCACCCCCTCTCTTTCTTCTCTCCCTTCTCTGTTGGTGATGATGAACACAAAAAGAGAGTGGGGCTCGGCCGTCGATCACCGCCGCCATCGTCCTCGTCGATCGACGCCACCATCGTCGCTGCCGCCTCCGATCTCCCCACAACCAGTCCGGTCGAACCACCCCCTCTCTTTCTTCTCTCCCTTCTCTGTTGGTGATGATTCACTCCTAACTATGAAGAAGTTCATTAAAAAAAGGAAACTTAACGCGGTCTGATTATTAATTTATTATTATTACTTTTTGATTCACCGCAGTTCAGTGGCCCCACTATGTTGACACAATTGTTAGAAACTTTTGGGTGCGGAGAGGGTACCTTTCCACCAATGAGTGATGGACAAGACACAAGGAGTCAGATTATGTCAACATGTTACCACATTGAAAAGAAAAAGAGCATTGATAGAGACCCCCTCCAATCACCACCCCCACCACCCCACACACACGTGACGGGTGGTGATTGGAGGAGATGGAAAAAAAAAGAAAAGAAAAGAAAAGAAAAGAAAAAGTAGCCAATCAAAAAAGAGAGGGGTCAAAGGGGGTGGGGGAAAGGGGGTCGTAAACATTTTTGGAAAAAAAATTCCCAAAAGCTAAAAGAAAATCCACGGATGGTTTGAAATCCTCCCTCCTCTCCTTGCTTTTAATAACATATTTTCTCTCTCCCAATTAATTCCTCTCACTTACTTTTAATAACATATTTTTTTCGATAGTATCACGCCAATGTTATATCATCATTATTGATCCCACTTATTATGGTTGTGTTATATACATCAATTAGTATACTAACTACTGTACCAATATTAGTTATGGCATTATTATTGACCCACTCATTATACAAATTATAAATACCAAAAATATCTTAAATTATGCCATCTTAAATTATACCGCATCATCAATTGGTACACTAGTTAATACATTACTTAGTACATATAACATTATTCCACATATTATACAAATTACAAATACCCAAAACTTCTAAAATTATGTCACATCATCTATTAGTATATTAGATAGTACATTAATTGATACATATAACATTATTCTATTTTCTCTCTCCCCTATTTAATTCATTTTTTTCTTTTTTTTTTTCTTTTTTTTTGCACTACTGGTGTTCCACACGTGCTATGCACAGGTTGTGTTTACAATTATTTATATATATATATATCACTACAACAAAATGCACTTTTGGCGACTAAAAAAATTTAGTCGCCAAAAGTTGTGGAATTGGCGACCAAAAATAATATTAGTCGGCAAAAGTCAAATATTTAGCTACTAATTTTTTTGGTCAAGGAATATTAATTATTGGCAACTAAAAAAAAATTTAGTAGCTAAAAATATCATATTTGCAGACTAAAAAAATTTTTAGTAGCC